TTTTTATCAAATACTACATCTGGATCATATTCAGTACTATTATCAAAGCAAGGATGCAGTAGATGGCTTCCATCAGCGCTCCCAAAGCTTGCACAGGCCTTTCCCACTTTCTGGATCCACATTTCACTTGTTAACATTAGTCAGTTTTCATTTATATGCGGTTAGTGTCGATGATCGCATTATTTTTCATATGCATATGCTTACATATTAGATCGCTCGTTTCTGCGTCTTCCTGGTCTGTGTTTTTGATCGAGAGTTTCTAGACTCATTCAGGAGATGCGTGATAGCGCCCCCTAGCGTGAAAACACGGAAACCCGGAAAATCCCGTGTTTGGCAGAACTCTCCTTCCTCTCTATATCTCAGGATTGGATGGACCCAATATTTCCTTTCTTTTTGTCTTAAGAAGCGAAAGGACAACAAAATCATCCTCACTGCTTGAAGACTCCATTTAGGGATTAATACGCATATGAAAAAACGCATACGAAAATTTGGGACTCTGTGTGCAAGGAGCTTTTGTCCTAGTGGCATGATGAGTGAGCGGATCTGAAAGACTGGTGATATGTCTTTGGTTTATGTTTGCTGAAGCGGACCCGTTTGTGCAGTCGCTCGGCCTCGTCCTGATACGCCGCCAGCTGCTGCTTCCACTGCTTGACGTTAGCCGTGGACTCCAGCAGCGCCGCCGTTAGCTTAGCATTATTCCCCTTCAGAGCCGCCAGCTCGGCCTCCCAGTGCTTGCTGATGGACGTGGAGCTGGAAGAGTTAAAGTCGTTTCATGTAAAGAGTGTAAAAAACACATCCAGCGCTCAGATGCAGAAACTCATTCTGAACATCATGTGACTGAATCTCACAATAATAAACATCAGATGATCCCCAGTAAAGCTCCGCTGCCAAACGCTGTGATTGTCAGAGACGCGATCGGCTCCAAGAGCTCTGCATGAGAAATGATTGAAGCGCGTTTGCATCTGTTTTTGACGTCTAACACAGGGTTTAATGTAACAGCGGTATGTGAAATATAAACACATTATCAACATGCAGACGCTCATTTCACACCAGAATAAGTGTGCGTGTGTGTGAGAGAGAGAGAGAGAGAGAGAGAGAGAGAGAGAGTGTGTGTGTGTGTGTGAGATTGAGTGTGTGTGTGTGTGTGTGTGAGTGGTCACCTGTGGGGGAAGGGCACAGTGTTGATCTCGGCGCGGCTCTCGGTGTTGAAGGCTGTGTCGGGGGTCACTCTCTCGTCCGTGCCGTTGATGCTCTCTGGAGTCACAGGAGACTGAAGGTCACCCATCGCTGATTCCTGTCACACGATCAACACAAACACACCTGATTCAGATCAGAAACACACACGTCTGGCTTCCTCTTGAAACAGAACATCATGTTCTCAAACACAGTTCAGGTGCAGAGCTCGATCTCAGCAACAGAACCTCAAGCAGATCTGCAGATCAAACCTAACATAAAATAACCTCATTCTGTTCAGAAGCAGCACAAAATCAGCTGATTGTCAAGACACACTTAAACCTATTTCACAATTTCAATAATATAATGTTTTGCTTTGCATTTAGTGTTAATCCTGTCAGCTGTGTTTTAATTTAGTCTCAGTTCTGTCAGATGACTGTTAGTTTTTATCCTATTCTATCAAACTCTCCTGTTTTTTGTTTAGTCAAGTTTCAGTTGACTGAAAGTCTAGTTTTAGTCAGTTAAAACATAGTTAGTCATTCTGCATAATAATAGTTAAACGTTTGCTCATGATTATGATGTTTTGATCATGATTTGATCAGAATTATTGCACTTTTACTGATAAGCACAAATCAAGAGACTGTCAACTGCTTTATTTAACCTCATCTAGTCTCCTGGTTTATTATATTATCATAAATATAAACTCTACATTATGAAAAATGGTTGCCAGGTTGATAAGATAAAGTAAAACACACACAAGGTGTCCTTTTAAGACAGATGCTCTGATTAGGGTCAAACTCTAGACATCTGGCAACCGCAAGCATGTTTTTGCTCTGGTTATTATATTGTACAGCATTTTGGTCAACCTTGGTTTTTTAATTAATAAATAAACATTGACTGATTCTTCATTAAACTACAACTACGTCTTGTTGATGTTTGGAAAAAAGTTTGTCATGTATTATCATGACAGCTTTTTTAATGAAATGAACACTAGTAGCGAGTGAGAACTGATATTTGTCTTATTTAACATTTAATTATTGCAGGTTTGCGTCATATTCTGAGTTTGCATTTGACTGTTTTTATTGATTGTGAGGAACACTGAATGTGTTTGTGTGCAGGTGAGATGAGTAAACACATGTTGATATTTAGTCTAGAACTACAGTAAGATCATGTTCACACACAACACTCTGCACTTACTCCTGATTTCTGTCACCATGGCAACACCAGAGCTGTCACTCAACACATGGAAACAAAGTAACTGCTGTTACTTGTTTGAAAAAGTAACTCAGATATTTCCTTCTAAATTTAAAAGTAATGTGTTACTTTACTAGTTACTTCAAAAACTCGCGTTACTTGTAATGCGTATACAGCACTGATCACGAGTAAAGCAGAGCAACACGGATGAAAGCCTTACCTTCACTGGCGTCCGAATCTGTGCGTTTCAGAGAATTAAACAACATCATGAGAGAAAAGACACTGTACTCATCAACACTGATCAGAGCGCAGCAGGAGAGTGTTTGGGCCGGTTTGGCTGGGTTCTGGGTTTTGTTTGGGTTTGGAGGATTTAAGGATGTTCTGACGGATGATCTCCTTACCTTCAGGCGCGGGAAACACGAGACGGGTTTGCGCTTGAGACACAGAGCGAGCGAGGGTGTCAATAGTCTGAAGTACACACACACACACACACACACACACACAGCTGGTCTGTGCTGGTTTAGTGCGGTTTATACCTGTGAGGGTGAGCTGGTTAACTCCTGAGATCTCTCTTTGGCTAACCGCGCCGCTTCTTTGAACTCTGCAAACTTGTCAGCAAACTGCAGAGAGAGAAACCAGCACAGACGCGTCAGGAGACGAGGACGGGGATCTGAGAGAAGCTGGGTCTCGGTCCGGACTCACTTTGCTCAGATGGGCCTCGGAGGAGAAGCCCAGGCCGTAGACGGTGTTAGCCCGACTGTCTGCCCACTGACCGAACTTGTGTGAGGTTTTGGTGAAGCTCATGTTGGGGGTGATGGTGCTGTTGATGATGGCCTGCAGGAAACACAAGATCATTCCAGTTTGAGGAGAAAATGAAAGGAGACACAAAGAAATTCACCTAAATTAAAGCGAGTTTATGACTAAGACAAGAACAAATATCTGCCAATGAGTGCAGAACAACTAATTCAAAGAGAAAACAAGCTGCTTTTTCTCAGTTCTTGTTTTCAGCATAAACTCACTTTTGATCAGTGTCTCAGAAAACAAGACTTGTGTTCATTCTGCACCTCCAGTAAATGTGTCACGATTTAATGAAAACTTGGAAAATATTGAGGAAGATATTCATTGTTTGCAGTGCATGCAACATTTAATGTCCTAAATGTAAGACTTTCTGCTCTGGTTTATGTGTGGAAGGGTGAATTCTCAAGCGTCTCAAAGAAGAAGGTTTTTGCAAACTGGGCTTCATGAGTTGAAGAAAAGCTAGTAATTAATCATTAAAAGGTCATATTGAAATAAATATATAATGCTGAAAATACGTGCATGGCATGTGGCCATCAAACAACCGTCATTAAACGATCAGATTACTCTGTACAATACTGTTTTATTTGGTAACTACACAAAGAATGAAAGAATTTTTACTCTTAAATTTCTAGTAAATTTCACAGATAATTACAAAGAAATGACGAGGAACTCACTGAATAAAACTGAAATCGTATTTTCTTGTAAAATGTACTCTAATAATCTTTGTTTTGGTAAAAAACGATTTTTTTTTTTTTTTTAAAGTAAACATTTTTTAAATTAAATTCAAGTTTATTTGCATAGCACTTTTCACGATACAAATCGTTGCAAAGCAGCTTTACTATGGAGACAGATCAGCCTCAAAAATAACACATTTGCAAAACAAAATTCATAAATGCACAGCACAATTTACATTTACAAAATCCGATTCGTAAATTCAAAACACAATTCATAAATACACAAGTAAAAGCATAAATATTTCCCCAAATGCTCACACAAATGCATCTTACCTAAATAAATTTAAAATGTTTACACAAATATGTATATATCAAGTTCTTGAATTAATTTCCATCACACATTTATGAATGATGTTACATGTATTTATGGATCGTTGAATCTGCATTTGCAAATCGTCACATGTGCGTGGACTGCTTTGAATTTGTGTGCGGTATTTTTGAGACCTTCCTGGCAGGTTAAGATTCATAAATATCTTTTTTTGGAGGATGTTCCGTTCAGCCAATCGCGGTGAGCTTTTAATCCACCAATCAAAACGCTCTTTACTGAACAGACTCAAGAAGCTCAACGCTGTGCTTGTACTGTGCATTGTTTATATGATCGTGTCCTTGATGTAAAGACATTTTAATGGGCAGTGTTGGGCAAGTTACTCTGAAAATGTAATTACATTACTGATTACTGATTACTCCTTTTAAAAGTAATCATATTTATGTTTTTACTTGTGTATTTATGAATTGTGTTTTGAATTTACGAATCGGATTTTGTAAATGTAAATTGTGCTGTGCATTTATGAATTTTGTTTTGCAAATGTGTTATTTTTGAGGCTGATCTGTCTCCATACTTTACAGAAAATTAAAGTTTCTACATTGTATTTAGCATCAGTAGTATTTGTTAAAACCAATGCATTGTGACCTAACATTATCAAAACAAACAATGAACTACATTTTTATTAATTAACATTAACAAATGCTGTTAAAAAAAAAGCGTTCCAAACCTGTATGAGTTTCTTTCTTCTGTTGAATATAAGATATTTTGAAGAATGTGTGTAACCGAAGAGTTGCCGGTAGCCATTGACTTTCAGTGTGCTTTCCATACTATAGAAGTCTGGCTACCGGCAACTGTTCGGTTACCGATATTCATCAAAATATCTGATTCTGCGTTCGACTGCAGAACGAAACTCAAACAGGGAGAGTGACTGATGACAGGATTTGTGTGTTTGGGTGAACGATCCCTTTAACTAATGTTAACCAAAGAGACTGTACAGTGCTCCCAATCACTGAAACACGGATCTAAAAGCTGACTGGGACTGATGTTTGAGCTCAGCGGGGATGGGCTGACCTTTGACCCGTCGAGGCTGATGATGCGGTACACGGTGCGCGTGCTGTCGTAGAAGTAGGACACGGTGACGGAGTGTTTGCTGGTGGGAACCCAGTTCTTCTTGGTGCTGGGGTCGATCTGGAAGACGTGCGCTCTGGTGCTGAAGATGGGCTGCTCTCTGCAGGAGACACAGACACACAGCTGCAGTGCATGATGGGAAAGCACAGTACCCACAATCCCCCGTCAGATCAGCTGAGAAGGCTCAGATTAGGACTCGTGCTGGATTAGGAAGGATTTTCTGGACAGAATAACCGTTAGCGCGTGGCTTTAGTCCGGGACTATAGTTAATCTGCGCCGCAGTTCATCTGGAGGATCATCAGACACACGGAAATCCCAGCATGCAAAGCGACGGCAGCTTCCCTGTTCCTTCAGAACATCTTATCTGACCACAGATCCATCATGAGACAACAATCACAGTTAATCACAGTCACAGAGGTCAGAGGTCACGCTCACACACACGCACATATAAACACACACGCACACACACACACTCTCACACACACACTCTCTCTGTCTGTCTCTCTCACACACTCACACACACACACACACTCACATATAAACACACACTCTCTCTGTCTGTCTCTCTCACACACTCACACACACACACACACTCACATATAAACACACACTCTCTCTGTCTGTCTCTCTCACACACTCACACACACACACACACTCACATATAAACACACACACACACACTCACACACTCTCTCTCACACTCTCTCTCACACACACACTCACACACACACTGTCTCTCAGTCTCTCTCACACACACTCACACACACACTCTCTTATAAGAGTGTGTTTATAACATATAAACACACACTCACACACTCTCTCTGATGAACGTGGACAGAACGATTGTGAACGAGCTGAATGTGGGTCTCCAGTGTCTCTCAGCATTAATGAAGCGCAGCTCTTAATTAACACACACTCAATCACGCTGTAATTAATCACATTCACAGAGAATGGAAGCGGATCGGTGTGGATCACGTGAGAGTTATTTAAACGCTTAGTTCATCCCTCTGTCATGGTTTACTCACTCCAAACCTGTTCTAAAAATGAAAAAGGAACTAAAAATTAGAGATTCTGAAGACAGCCAGGTTTGGAAGGACATGAGGACGAGTATACAGTTTGTACAGTATAAAAACCATTACGCCTATGGGATGTCCCCACTTTTCACAAAAACAAACCTGTGTGTGTGTGTGTTGTGTGTGTGTGTGGATCCACAGGAGGAAATCAGCTCTTATCACACACGACTGATACTGCATTTGACTACAAAACACCGGACCATTGTTCAAACACGTGTGTGAAAACACGGCTTTTACATCAGGATCTCTCTCTCTTACACACACACACAGGCCAAGGGTGAGACGGTCCATCTGCTCACAGTGCAGTCACCGCCCCACCAATCACACGGTGGCACGACACGATCACTGCACACACACACACCGCAAGCTGTTTGGACTCTCATTCTGACGGCACCCATTCACTGCAGAGCATCCATTGCTGAGACACTGATGCAGTGCTACATTTCTCCAAACCTGATGAAGAAACAAACTCATCCTGATCTGGGATGAACTGAAGGTGAGCACATTTTCATTTTTGGCTGAACTATTCCTTTACGAACAGGAAACGTGTACAGTAAACCCACGTCTATCTAAACTATTGAAATATTAACTTAAAATCGAATTAATTTTATCTAAAAGAGGTTTGGCTGATAAACAGGTTTGCGGATCGCTGATCTAGAACGAGACACTTAAGAGAACCATACAGAAACACATTCAACGACTTCACGGTGACGTCACGGGCAGTGATGACATCATCTCGGCCTCAGCCAATCGGCGTGCAGCAGCGCAGAGTCCTCTGACAGCTGCTTCGTTCTGTCCGGTTTGAGAGAAGCACACTTCAGATACGGCGGCTATTTTTGGCCCTGCTTTGGAAAACTGGAGGGAAAACGCAGTAATACAACACTGACTGATCTCGTGCATGCAAATCACAAATCTCCACCGAGTCCATAATCTTCTGTGAAGGATCATGAAACCAACCCTCACAAGCTCCTCCAGGACTTGAGGACCCAGAGTGTTCTGAACATGAACATGAACATGAACAGACGATCCATCACCACAGCGTGCAGTGATTCAATCAGATCAGAGTAACGTTACTGTCATCAATGAAGCAGCAGCTGTAGTAAACACAGTAAGAGCATGGTAACATACCCCATTTTGCTGGCTCACAGATCTGCTCGCGTTGATGCTGAATTTGAATCAAAGTGATTCACTCCGACAGGACGCGAGTCGCTGCGCTCGGATGCTGAACGCCGCTGTTCATGATGAAGATGATGATGAAGACGACGAGTAATGTCCTGCAGACGAACACACACATGCAGCCGTCGCTGGAGCTCCAGATAGGGATGCACAGTGATGCTGCCGCCGGATCTTCATCCTCCTCCTCCTCCTCCCGCGGCGATCAGACGGTTCCAGCGCGATCTATCGGGTGATTTATTTCATCGACGCGTCACATCTGTCGCTCCGTCCTGCTGTCTGTCATCCCGTTTATCATCTCCGCGCGACGTCATCACGCACGCACCCGCGTCACTCCCCCAACTCTGACGTCACGCACAGTGCACGTGTTCCGTCACTTCCGGCTGCGCAGCTGTTCACACAAACACTCATCCATGATCTTCTGCCGGCTTCACTGCAACAGAACTAATGTGCCATTCATCTGGAATCAATCGTCATTATTAATCAGCTCAGTGATCCAGAGACAGATCGTGACTCATTTATCAGGTTACACTGTAAATAGTAATAAGGCTGAATAATACCAAATTACAACAACAAAACACCTCGGTCCGGTAATGAAGAGCAATTAGCTGGTTAGTGCTCCAACTGACAATTACTACACACACACACACACACTCTCTCTCTCTCTCTCTCACACACACACACACACACACTCTCACTCACTCTCTCTCTCTCACACACACACACACACACACACACACAGAGGATGTGTAAGTGTCTGGTTTCACCCTGATCTCTCTTACACACACTCATAACTGCAGTGACAGGCATCAGCAGGTGATTCAGTGAACATGTGAGAATCACACAAACCCTGAGCTGCATCTGCTTTTCGCTCGATCATAGATTTATACTACATATTTTTAGACTTTCAACAGGTTTTGATTGATTTTCTTGGTTTTCTTTCATCCTGTCCTCTTAAAAATCACTATCACAGTTTGTAAAAAAAAAAAAAAAAAAATGAAGTATAAAAGCTTTTGAAGATCAAATGGATCTTGTGTGAAAAGCTTCTGTGACCCACACCTACCTATCTCACACATTTTCATTTATAATTCTCTTTGTTAATTGTTGTCGTAGCTTTAAATACTTCCTTTGTTGGTACGTTGTTTGATTCAGTTTGTGTGTTGTCTTGAGTGGATTAATAAAACCGATTTAAGCAGTTGTGTTGTTCACTCATTATGTTTGTTATGTTACCTTTTTAAATTCATCAGAGGGAAGGTCGTAACAAAGTGGGGGCTCGTCCGGGATGTGAACCCAGGACTTCTATAAATATTTTAGAACTCAGAATTTATTTATTTTTTTACAATTTTAAAATGCTTTTTCTTACATTTTTACACTTTCCATAACCATGTTAAACCTAAATATGTCACATAAGAATCTCTTGTTGGCATTTAAAAAGATGTAAAAAGATGTAAAGGTAAGAAACAGCCATAGCATGTTAAACTGCTGCAACATAACCTAATTTCAGAATGGGTGAATATTTGACTTGTAGCCCGTAATAAGCACCTAGTCTGTTTTCCTTCGACTCGTCATGACCTGCAGCGCCTCTGAGAAGCTCACGTATCTGTGAAGTATTTTTAGGTTTCGCAGGTTGATGCAAAAAACCCAATCCCTGCTTTCATAATGTGACACCAGGATCGCAAAGTTAAACTCTGGACAGCCTTGCTGAGGATGGGCTGATAAATCTTCAAGCACAATTAAAATTTCACCTTTTGAGGATGACTGGCCCCTGCGAGTAGATGCAGCGTGCCTCACTGCGTTCTGCAGAAAACGGGACGCCGCGTCAGGCTATTTACAGATAATGCTGAGCAAGAGAAAGTTCCCACAGCTGAAATGACACGAAGAGAGCGACCCGTTCGCCTGCAAAGCGCCTCTGATTAATGCAACCTGCAACAAAAAAATGGAAACGATGGAAATAATGGATCCAGAGAGCCAGATGACAGCACTGTTGGACGACACGCTGGCAGAAGAACAGCTAAACGACGAGCTGGAGGATCTGAGCAACAGGTGAGAACCTCAAACACACATTAGAGAGTGTTTAATGTTTTTTTAAGAAGTCTCTTCTGCTCACCAAGCCTGCATTTATTTGATCCAAAGTACAGCAAAAACATTAAAACTTTGAAATATTTTTTACTATTTAAAATAACTGTCTTCTATTTGAATACATGTTAAAATTTAATTTATTCCTGTGATTTCAAGGCTGAATCATTACTCCAGTCACATGATCCTTCAGAAATCATTCTAATGTTCTGATTTGCTGCTCAAAAAACATTTATTATTATTATTATTATTTAGTGCTGTCAAATGATTAATCGCATCCAAAATAAGTTTTGTTTACATAATATATGCGTGTAGTGTGTATATTTACTATTTATATATACAATACACACATGCATGTATATATTTCAGAAAAATATGTTATGTTTGTATATTATATTTATATATAATATAAATTATATGAATATAAATATATACATGTAAATATTTTCAAAGTATATAGTGTATGTGTGTGTATTGTATATATACATAATAAATATACACAGTACACACTCATATATTATGTAAACAAAAACTTTTATTTTGGATGCGATTAATCGTTTGACAGTATTATTATTATTATTATTATTATTTCGGTCGATACGATATAATTCCGATATCGATATGAACACTATTTATCTGAAATAGTAATCTTTTGTAACATTATAAATGTCTTTATCATCACTTTTGATCAATTTAAAGCATCCCTGCTAAATAAAAGTTTCTATTTCTATCAATTTATATAATTTCTTTCTCAAAAAACGAAAAATTATACTGACTCCAAGCTTTTGAATGGAATAGTGTATAATGTTACAAAAACTTTTTATTTCAGATAAATGCTGATCTTTGGATCTTTCTATTCATCAAAGAATCCTGAATAAAATGTACTCAACTGTTTTAAATACTGTTACTGTTTTAAATCGTGATAATAATAATCAGAAATGTTTCTCGAGCAGCAAATCAGCATATTAGAATGATTTCTGAAGATCATGTGACACTGAAGACTGGAGTAATGATGCTGAAAATACAGCTGCGCATCACAGAAATACATTACAGTTTAACAGATATTCACATAGAAAACAGCTAATTTAAACAGTACAAATATTTCACAATTTTACTGTTTTGGATCAAATAAATGCAAGCTTGGTGAGCAGAAGAGACTACTTTAAAATCATTAAAAACCTTTTGACTGGTAGTGTAGCTACTGTTAGCATGACGTTTCCAACATAAGATCACAAATATCAGTTTGTTACTAATGATATGCTTAATGTTAAATACCCTGCAGTTTGAGAGAGGTGGTCCAGGATGGTGCGGTCAAGCCGAAGCTCCACTGCCTGATGATGGATCCGTCCTTCTCGATGGTGACGGTCCAGAGCGAGGACAGCGGGATCGTTTGGGAAACCGCTTCCAGCCGCTGCTCCACACCCTGGGCCTCCGAGTTCAACTCGCTGGCCTCCGAACCCGGATACAGCTGCTGCGGCTCTGGAGCGGCCGGCAGGATCGTCTTCATTATGGATGAAGAACTGATGAGCAGAAGAAAGAGGAAGCCAAAGTCTGAGAAATCAAAGATGCTTCCTCAGGTCAGCCACGAGATCCTCGCTGAAGCAGAGAGACCAGCCATGGTGGAAGTGTCCCTGCCGAATGTGACACGGGAAGAAGGAACAGACGAACACAAAACAGCTGATCTCAGAGAAGAAAAGCACCAGCGTTTGTTCAGTCTCGTCTCTGAAGGATCTGAGATACTAAACATCATCGCTCCGCCGAGAGTCTCCACCGTGGATGAAGAGGACAGCAAAGATCTGGAAGATAACTTGTATTACCTCGAGGAGACGCCTGCTGTGAAATCCGCAGAGATCCCGGACGAACCTGAGCTGGACTTTGAGACTGTAGAGACGGAGAAGAGCGTTTTATTGATACCAGAGCCTGTTGTCCCGTCTATCCAAATATCCCGAAGAGGACAGACGACCGAGGACTACTTTGAGAAGTTCACGCTCCTTGACCATCAAGCTCCATCAGGAGCAGCACCAGTAGAAGAAGCCCAATGGGAGACAGAGGACAAGGTCACAGAAGAAGATGGTCCTGAAGCAGAACCAGGACCTGGACTTTCTGGAGTCTCCTCAGCTGTGAGTATGCTAGACATTTCTGGCGAACACTTGGACGATGTGTTTTACGGCGGAGGGAGCGAGCCACCTACTGCTGCAAGTGTTAGTGAAAAGGAAAGAGAGCTTTCCAAATCCTCTCTGAAGGAAAGCGGAAGCGCCTTGTTTGGAAGCGAGGAGTCGGTTCTCACTCCCATATACCTTCCCGAAGGTCCTCCGAAAATCATTGACCCCAATTTGCTCGAGGAGCCCAAAGCCTTGGCGTTTCTCTACTCGGACTTGTACGCAGATGCCGTCGGAACCAGAAAGAAGCAGGACGATGACGTCGAGAGCGTGACCTCCGAGAAATCCTTCCACAGTCAAGCTTCCGACTCTGAGGACAGAGGCTATCTGGAGAAGTTTGTGCTCAAGGTTGAGACTCTGGCTGACGTTGTTCCTGAGATAAGCCCAGAGGAACGGCATGACCCTTTCAGACTCGCCGGGTACGTGGCACACCACAAAGAAGAAGTGGACAATCAGGCAGAAGAGCAGGAAGAGATCACGGATTTCTTTAGGAACAGTGCATCTTCATCGCCCTGTGAACCTGTCGACTTCGAGCAGCTGGAGAAAGAGGAAAAGATCGAAGCGGTCAGGACGCCTCGGGTCACTTTCAAAGACGAAGCACCAAGGAATAAGACCGAACAGGCGAGCGATCGTCCATCGCTGGCTGACGACACAGACTTTGAGTTTTTACCGGTTGAAATAAGCGAGGATTGTCCGGCGTGGGAGGAAAACTTGCCGACGGTTGCGGTAAAATCGACACGCACAGATTTCGACCTAAGACAAAAACCAAAGTCAGTAAGTGAGAAAAGCTGTCCAGCGCCAATCCAACCTCAAAAAAACACAGTCAGACCCATAATTCCACACCACAAACCCTTCCTGGATCTGAGCCCGCTGCTGCACGTCCAGACCGAGACCGAAACACCAGACGCTGAAGAGGAGAAAGAGAACACAAGCTCTGCAGAGGTCAGTAATCAGGACTGTGCGGTCTCCGGAGACTCTACAAGAGAGAATCCCACAAATCTGCTGCATGAGGACGCTGCTGAAGCTCCAGCTGCAGTGTGAGGTTTGAGCCTCGCTGATTCGCTGGCTTGACAATGAGTGATCCGTTAGCATCTGCGACCGTCCTTCAACAAAACAGAAAACGAGCAGAACGTTATCAGGAGTCTCTATGTCTGTCGTGGTCAGTGTCGGGGGGAACGCATTACAAGTAACGCAAGTTACGTAATCAGATTACTTTTTTCAAGTAACTAGTAAAGTAATGCATTACTTTTTAATTTAGAAGGAAATATCTGAGTTACTTTTTCAAACAAGTAACAGCAGTTACTTTGTTTCCATGTATTGAGTGACAGCTCTGGTGTTGCCATGGTGACAGAAATCAGGAGTAAGTGCAGAGCGTTGTGTGTGAAGTACTGTAGTTCTAGACTAAATATGAACATGTGTTTACTCATCTCAGAATGCAAACTCAGAATATGACGCAAACCTGCAATAGTTAAATATGTTAAATGCAGATCCTGTACAGTATATGACTGTAGAAGCCTAATAAACTGTGTTTGTGAGAGTATATGTACAGATTACAACTCAACTCCACAGCTGAAAACAAGTAAATGATTAAAAAAGGTATAATGTATAATAACCAGTGCTTAAATGATGTACATATGGTTATAACAGTCAAATATACAAAACAATGTGCATGTATCTTCTCTGTATTAATCACTCGAGTAAGTAATACGAGTCTTACCTTCGGTCCATAGAGAATCTGATGCTCTTGAGTCCAGATCCGCTTTTAATTCGGTTCGGATATCTTCACTTTACAGAGATCCAGGCATTAACCATAACGTCATGAATCAAGTGCATACATGTTCTTTTTTCAACAGATGTCTTTATACAAATGAGGGAAAACCGTATCTAACATTTTCCCACAAAGATTTTGCAAGTAAAAGCTTTTAAACCTTTTTAAGAGACCAGTAACTCCCTATAAAACGATTTGCAACAAAAAATAAATGAATAAGCATAAAAGAAATGAATTCTTCAGGGAAGTCACTTTTGCTGATATTGGAGTTTCGTAATATTCTGTATTTGATGATTTTATAAAGTTAAAAGAATTCAAGAAAGATCGTAAGAGAGATTGTTAAATTCTGTCGAAGTGAATAACAGGCCTCTTTTACACACACACACACACACACACACACACACACACACAAAGATCTTGCAACAGCAGACAAAGCACAGATATTGAAATATTAAAATATCCCAAACTGTTCCCACACCAGGAGTGTTTAACTTCAGAATGTAAAGATAATCACATACACAGCCGTTTCACTGATTTAAAAACACACCTGATGAGCCGAGATAATATAATGACACTGGAACAGAGTGTTGGACAACTATTATTATTATTATTATTATTATTAATCTCTCTTTACACCCAGTGTTGTGTGGACATCTTACTTCAGTACATCATGGTTTTATTGCAGTTCAGAATCGTGTAGAAAAACAAGCGCCTCGTTAAACAGCACAAACCTGCAGATAAACCATCATCATCATCATCATCATCATCGTTCCAGGAGATAAACATCTGATCCCGCTGCCAGTCGATCACGTTCATCATGAGATTGCAAATAAAAAGTGAATATGATTAAAAATACAACATAAGAAGAATGATGAGCTCCCCAAAAGAGAATCGCTTTAATGACAGATGTGTGATTGAGTTCTCCGCCGGGACCTCGAGAGACTTCCAACCGGGAGTGTTTACAGTGATGCCATGAAAACATCCAGACGAGAACTTCCTTCCAAACGTGAACAGAGGAGCCTTGAGAAGATTCAGTCAAGCTTATATATCTCTCTGCCTCGAGACAAATAATCACGGTTGTTCCTTATAAAGACACGAGCAGAACGTCCTCACACACACATATATATACACACACACACACATTCGCTCGGGCACATTATCATTTACAAATAAAAACAAAGAAAAACACCCCTAGAATAACGCAGCTCTCACTGCTGTCCATGTGCAACACAGAAACGAGCCCGACACACACACACACACACACTCGTGAGCTCACTGTAGTGTGACGTGACAGACGTGTGTTGTAGGAGAGCAGCGTAACGTCCTCCTCGCGAACACACGGGTGTTTCTGTGCCGTCAGTGGCAGTGAAGAACATCACGCAGATGATGACCGGCGCTCCTTTACCTGCTGGTGTCCATCGGATCCTCCTTGAAGTTCTCACACTGCTCCATCACTTTACTGCACACACACACACACACACACACACACGCATGCATGCATGCATGCATACATGCATACATACATTAGGGATATGCCGGTATCAAATTTTCATGTTGCGATTAATTGCTAATGCTTTTAT